TGGTAGATAAACTTTTTTTCTCTTTATTGTTAGCATTTTTATTTTACCAGTGGGATTTGTTCTTTCTTGAGGATTCAAGGCAGTGATGGTTGTTTTTCAGGTGCCAAACCCAGTATTCCCTTGAGAATTTCTTGTAAGGCTGGTGGTGTGGTAGTGAACTCCTGCTGATTTTGTTTCTGATAAATATACTATTTGTCCTTCAGTTCAGATGGATAGCCTTGCTGGGTAAAGTATTCTCGGCCAGCAATTTTTGTCTTTTAGTATTTTGAGTATATAATCCCATTCTTTTTGGCTTTTAGGGTTTCCAGTGAAAGGTCTGATGTTAGTCCGACTGGGGTTCCCTTTCAGGTGACTTGATGCTTTCCCTCTTGCAGCCTTTAAGATTCACTCTTTGTTTTTGGGTTTGGCCAATTTGACTGTAACATGTCTTGGAGAGGGCCTTTTTTGGTTGAATATGTTTGGGGATCTTTGAGGCTCCTAAATATGAAGATCTGTGTCTTTCCCTGTACCTGGGAAGTTTTCTACTATTATTTCATTGAACATGTTTTCAATGCCCTTTCCTTTTTCTTCCCCTTCTGGAATACCCATGATTCAGATATTTGAGTGCTTAAGGTTGTCTGTTACCTGTCTTAAGTTTGCTTCCATTTCTTAAATACTTTTTCTTTTTTATTTGCCTGTGTTATTTTAAACAGACCATCTTCAAGGTAGGAAATTCTGTCTTCTGCTTGTTCTAGCCTGCTTATTAAACTCTCCGTTGTGTTTTTTACTTCATGGAATGAATCCTTCAGCTCCACAAGTTCTGCTACATACTTTTTCAGGGCATTGATTTCTTTGTACATTTTTTCTTTCAGGTTCTGTATACCTTTTCTCATTTAATTGTGTTGTCTATCTGAGTTTGCTTGTATATCATTTAGATTCCTTAGAATTGTTGCTTGAAATTCCTTATCAGTCATTTCAAGGACTTTCTGTTGTATAGGATCTAGTACTTGAGAGTTATTATATTCCTTTGGTGGTGTCATACTTTCTTGGCTTTTCCATATTTCTGGTATCTTTCCATTGGTGTTTAGTCACTGTGGCAGGGGGTGTCACAGTCCCTTCGATCCACCCTGGTGTCTGGCCTGGATCCTGCAGGGACTGCAAATTTGGCCTGGCTACCTCAGGGTCTGTGGGCAGGTGGCTGTGTGATCTTTGGGCAGCAGGGACTCATCTGGGCTGGGGGTCCCACGGTGCAGCACCTACCTGCTCCAGCATGGCTACTTTGCGGCCTCTGGGCACAGTGGCTCTCAGGACTCTCTGGTGGTGGTGGCTCACCTGGGCTGTGGGTCCTGCAGTGCAGTGCCTACTGGTTCAGGTGTGGCTGGCATAGGGTCTGTGGGCCCGGGAGCTCTCTCCTTATATTATTTTATTTAATTGACATGTAATAATTGTACATAATTAGTGCATACAGAATAATGTTTCAATACATGTATACACTGTGTGATGATCAGACAAGCAAGTTAGCATAGCTACCAATGTAAATACTTATTTTCTTGTGATGAGACTGTTTGAACTCCTCTCTTCCAGTTATTTGAAAATATACAATAAATTATTGCTAATTATAGACACCTAGCACTATTATTGAATACTAGAACTTATTCTTCCTATCTATCTGTAATTCTGTATACATTAATCAGCCTCTTCTTATCCTCCCCTTCCTATCCCAGCCTCTAGTAACCTCAATTCTGCTTTGTACTTCTACGAGCTCACTTTCTTCAGCTGCCATATATGAGTGAACATGTAGTATTTATCTTTCTGTGCCTGACTTATTTTACTTAACATAATTACTTCTAGCCTCATCCATATTGCCATCTAATATGTTTTCTATAAAGATTCAGCAAGAAAATATATGTAAAACACACTTCACTGAATGGGTGCTCAAAGGGTACAGCTGTCTTTGCTGCACATGAAACTATCTCCTTCATTGTTTTTCAATAGAGTGCTAACATTGATGCATCTCTGCATGCAAAAAATGGCTGGACCTGTAATTCTTGTTAGGTTCTTAAACTCAGGTGTTTTAATGTAAGAGTACCCTTTTGGCCTTCTGTAATCATCCAGGTCATGGGTCTACCCATTCCTACTGTATCTTCTTATCCTGAGCCTTAGGGCCAGTTGTCTGTGGTAAATTGCTCTATGAGGATGAGATATTATAAAAAATTTGGCCTGGCTACCTCAGGGTCTGTGGGCAGGTGGCTGTGTGATCTTTGGGCAGCAGGGACTCATCTGGGCTGGGGGTCCCACGGTGCAGCACCTACCTGCTCCAGCATGGCTACTTTGCGGCCTCTGGGCACAGTGGCTCTCAGGACTCTCTGGTGGTGGTGGCTCACCTGGGCTGTGGGTCCTGCAGTGCAGTGCCTACTGGTTCAGGTGTGGCTGGCATAGGGTCTGTGGGCCCGGGAGCTCTCTCCTTATATTATTTTATTTAATTGACATGTAATAATTGTACATAATTAGTGCATACAGAATAATGTTTCAATACATGTATACACTGTGTGATGATCAGACAAGCAAGTTAGCATAGCACCTGTTACTAAGTCCGCTTGTTTCCTTTACCAATGTAAATACTTATTTTCTTGTGATGAGACTGTTTGAACTCCTCTCTTCCAGTTATTTGAAAATATACAATAAATTATTGCTAATTATAGACACCTAGCACTATTATTGAATACTAGAACTTATTCTTCCTATCTATCTGTAATTCTGTATACATTAATCAGCCTCTTCTTATCCTCCCCTTCCTATCCCAGCCTCTAGTAACCTCAATTCTGCTTTGTACTTCTACGAGCTCACTTTCTTCAGCTGCCATATATGAGTGAACATGTAGTATTTATCTTTCTGTGCCTGACTTATTTTACTTAACATAATTACTTCTAGCCTCATCCATATTGCCATCTAATATGTTTTCTATAAAGATTCAGCAAGAAAATATATGTAAAACACACTTCACTGAATGGGTGCTCAAAGGGTGCAGCTGTCCTTGCTGCACATGAAACTATCTCCTTCATTGTTTTTCAATAGAGTGCTAACATTGATGCATCTCTGCATGCAAAAAATGGCTGGACCTGTAATTCTTTTTAGGTTCTTAAACTCAGGTGTCTTAATTTCTTGTACTCTTTTGACCTTCTGTAATCATCCAGATAGATCTGCCCATTCCTACTGTGTCTTCTTATCCTGAGCCTTACGGGCCAGTTGTCTGTGGTGAGTTGAACTATGAGGATGAGATATTATAAAGAAAAATATTTGCCCACCTAGATACAGATCCGTTCTTTTTTGAGATTACATGTAACTACATGTTGAAATGATAATATTTTAGATATATTTGGTTAGATAAAATAAATTACTTACATTATTTCCACCTGTTTCTTTTTAACTTTTTAATTTGGCTACTAGCAAATTTAAGATGTTGTATGTAGATTGCATTATATTTGTACAAGAAAGAGCTGATCTGTACATTTAATACAATCACAATCAAATTACAAGATTCTTTTTTGGGTGGAAATTAGCAGCCTGATTATAAAATTTGAATGGAAATGCAAACAACCTATAATAATTATAATGCTGTGAAAGAAAAAATCCACAAATCAGAGTGCTCATGCTACCAGATTTTAAGAGGTGTTGTAAGGCTACACAAAGTGTGACAACACCATGAGACTAGACTTAATAAGCAACTGAATAGAAAACAGAGTCCAAAAATACCTCCATTTGTATATTCAGACATGTTATGTTTGACAAAGGCTGCAGTGTGGTTTAAGATGGAATAAAATGTTTTCTCAATGAATGACATCAGACCAAAGGGTTAAGGTAGCCGAAAAGGAAATCCAAAACCTTTCTCACACTATACAAAATTTTTATTTTATTATTTTAATTAATTTTAATTAATCTTTTTAAATTGACGAATAAAAATTGTACGTATTTATGACATATAGCATGATTGTTTCATACATGATCTTGTGAAGATGAGAATAACAAGGACAGTGACCCTATAAATGTCCCCTGTAGGATGCACAAGCTTTTCATTGGTCTGCAGAGAGTAGGAATTCTCACTTGTTCATTTGATGAGTGATCGGTGAAACCTATGTGCTTGTTCCTTGGATGCGAAGTTGGGTCCCAGAGACAAAGCAGACTCTGCCCTGCTCCCAGAAACTCCCAATCCAGGGATGAGAACCGAGTGGAGAACATGTAGGGTAATAAGTACATAGTCATGGTAGCATGTGAAGCTGTAGGCAAACAAAGAGGCACCTTACCTAAACCATGAGGTCAGAAAAAGTTTTTTTCAAAGAGGAAGAAACTCCATTGAGATCTTCAAAATATACAGAAACGTTCCTGATGACAGAAAGCTGAAAAATAGCTTTCAGGGGAGATGGAACAGCAGGTCATAGCTTCAAGCAGGTCAAGAAAATACAGCCAGTGAGGTTGCAGAGTTGGCAGGGGTCAAGTGAAATAGAAAATTGGAGGCTAAGCAAAGGAGTTTGTTTTCTCTCCAGCAGGCAATGGGGGCAATAGAAACTTGTAAGCAAGGATTCACGTTTAGACTCATGTTTTGATAAGAGGGATGACCCTGAAGATGAAGATTTAACTTCTTCAGATTCTAGCTGTTGTTGCATTGCAGCTGTCAGGCTGGGTTTGGAAAGGATCTATGGTGTGCATGGAAGACCTTCTCGAGGTCTTTCTATGTGTTCTCATGGGATAGGAGACGACTCTTGATTTGGGTTCAGGATTTTGTGAGTTCCACATACACACTAGTATCTGTTGAAGTTTCCTCTGGCCTCCGGGAACTGGGAGTGAATTTTTTGCGTGTGAAAATCCAATGATCCAACTGTGCATATGTCACCTCCTGTGGGTCTTCTCCTTTAGGGTCCTGGATAAAGGGAAATGTTGAGTGAGGTTATGTGCATACACTGCTGGAGACTCATCAGGAATAACTTTATTGAAGAGGGTGGGCTGTGGAGGACCTACCTCCCTATTCACTGTTCTTGGCCCACCATAGCAGCATCTATAGGAAATAGAAATCATTAAAATACCTAGGAAGGAACATTGGGATTCTTATTTCATATATAGATACGAACACTTGAGATGTGGTGTGTGGTTGAGATTACTCAGCTGCCCAACAGCAGAGTCAGATATTCTATTTGTCTCAGTTTAAGAACCCAGCCCATTAATCATTCGAACTTCCATCCCATTGATTCTCTTTCCTCCTTTCTCCCTTTCATAGAACCTTTTGATATCAGAGGCTGCACTGGTTGCGAGTATACAGTGGAGAATTAGTCAATGATCTGTGAGCTGAGGGAAGGGGCAGGGACTCTGGTGTTACCTCTAGGAAGCCCTAACTCTGTGGCTCCTGCCTTGGGCCAGGGATCTCCTGCAAATGGACAACACACACCAGCTAACTCCCATCCTGACCCCATATGCCCAGATGGCACTGGACTCCTCTTCCTGAGACTTACTCTTTTTGGCAGGACACCAGCGACGAATGAGGAAGAAAAGGAGGATGGTAAGGAGGATGGTGACCACGGAGAACCTGATCAGAGCATGCAGGGAGCTGGAGTTATCTGAAGGAAGATATTAATCCAATAAGAAGCAAGTCATAGCAGCTCCCCGTTGTGGATTGCCTCCCACTTACCGATCGCCAGATAATTGCATACAATGTCTCTTTAGGACAAGTGCCTGGATGGCAGGAGGCACAGCTGTCCCCTCTTTCTCACTTGTAGTTCTAATAGTAACTGCAGGACGTGCTGGGAACACAACATCTTGAGATAAAGAGGAACTGTGTGGAGTACCCCAGTTCTGTTCCTGTCCTTCCTAGAACAGGATGTTTTGCAATTCTTTAGCCCAGTGATTTCTGTCTCTCCAGGGTATAAAACCCAGGGCAGGCTGCTTTATGGGTTCCCTCAGCTGCAGAGCAAGTGGGGAGACTCCATCCTTCCTGGGGAGCTTTCCTGAGCCGTGGGTGACGTTCTCATCCCTAAGCTTCTGTTCTCTCTTGCTTGTTATTTGTGAATAGTAAACCTGCTTCATGTAACTTATTGTGTGAGTGTTCTCTCTCACTAGACTCTGGCAGCTAAGAGAAATCAGCACAGCCAAAGGTGTAGTGTGTGAATCATTTAGAGACTTCCCCTGGGATTGACACCAGCGCAGAGAAAATCTGCTTCACAATCTCGACATCCACAGCACCCTGGAATCAAAAAAATTAATTTCTCTGATAAAAGGAAAAAAGTGTAATCAAGATCAAAAGAAGTGAAATGGAGTTGTCTGTGTCCTATACCCAGGAAATGATGACGAGGCATGTGAACTGAGGGCTGCAGAATGTGCTGTGTTCCTTTTTGTTGTCTCATGTGGCACCTGTTCGGTTTATGCTTTTTCTGGGAGGCACAGGGAAAAGACCATCCCCTGCATCAGCTATTGCTGAACATATGTTGTTGTTGCCTGGCCCCAACACTACTTGTCCTTCTGTGAATGAGGAGGAAAGTCGACCAGCAGATAGTGCTGTGTCTGGTCTCTGAGTTCAAGATCCGAACTCGCTCAATAGAATACTGGTGTTCGCCTCCCAGGGATCTGTCTGTATCTGCATATGTGATTTACAGTAGGGGTGAGGGGAATGGAGGAGGACCAGTTTTACACCATGTCTTCAGCACTTTCTCTACTCTAGTATCTATGTGTGTTGTGAGGAGGGAGTGCTTTCACGTTTTTTTGATTTTTTTGGTGTCTGGCTGGTAAAAATACTTTTTTCTTTTCTTTTGTCTGCTTGTGTTATTTCAAAGTCTGTCTTCAAGGTCAGATCTTGGTCTTGCAACACTGTGCTCCAACCAAGTGAGTTAAGTGACCAGCCCAGGCTTTCACATTTTCAAACTGTTCTCATGCTTACACAAAGTCTAAAAGGGAGGTGCTTTTAGCCTGATTTATTGTGGATAAGATAGAGGATCAAAGAGGTAATCCTACAAAGTAGGATAATGATGATTTTAGTTTGAGTGCCCTTGTCATTCTGGTATTTTACACCACAGTTGTGTGCATTTTCATCCCCTTCCCCCAACCCCACATTTTTTTCTCTCCTGGGAAGAATAAATTTGATGTAGTGAAAGTGAGTCTCAGAAGGAAATTAATAAAGCCAAGATCAAGCAACTAGCAAAAGTCAGATCCAACAGGACTTCTCTCCAAATGGTTCTACCTTGCGAATGTGTATCTATCTACTTCATTCATTAGTTTCTAAGTCACCACCATTTTTACCAGGAGAATGCAACTGTGTTCAAGATCTGAACTCACTCAGTAGAATACTGGTGTTCGCCTCCCAGGGATCTGTCTGTATCTGCATATGTGATTTACAGTAGGGGTGAGGGGAATGGAGGAGGACCAGTTTTACACCATGTCTTCAGCACTTTCTCTACTCTAGTATCTATGTGTGTTGTGAGGAGGGAGTGCTTTCACGTTTTTTTGATTTTTTTGGTGTCTGGCTGGTAAAAATACTTTTTTCTTTTCTTTTGTCTGCTTGTGTTATTTCAAAGTCTGTCTTCAAGGTCAGATCTTGGTCTTGCAACACTGTGCTCCAACCAAGTGAGTTAAGTGACCAGCCCAGGCTTTCACATTTTCAAACTGTTCTCATGCTTACACAAAGTCTAAAAGGGAGGTGCTTTCAGCCTAGTTTATTGTGGATAAGATAGAGGATCAAAGAGGTAATCATACAAAGTAGAATAATGATGATTTTAATTTGATAATGATGATTTTAGTTTGAGTGCCCTTGTCATTCTGGTATTTTACACCACAGTTGTGTGCATTTTCACCCCCTCCCCCCAACCCCACAATTCTTTCTCTCCTGAGAAGGATAAATTTGATGGAGTGAAAGCGAGTCTCAGAAAGACATTAATAAAGCCAAGATCAAGCAACTAGCCGAAGTCAGATCCAACAGGACTTCTCTCCAAATGGTTCTACCTTGCGAATGTGTATCTATCTACTTCATTCATTAGTTTCTAAGTCACCACCATTTTTACCAGGAGAATGCAACTGTCTCTCCCTGGTCTCCTAGCTCACAGTTATGTGCCTGAGAATCCTATACTTTCACATCAGTCATTGTTAATCGTATATTGATTTCTGAGATGAATTCCAATAACAGTTAACATAAAACATTAATTCCCTGTTCTTACGTAATTCTCATATATTCTAGGTCCTCTCCATCTCTCTACATTTATCTCACAATTCTCTCCATCTCATTCACAACATTTCAGGTGTAGACTCTTTCTTGAAAGTAAGATTATTTTCACCTTAGTAGATTCATGGCTTATAGCTCTGTCTGGGATATTATTTTGCCAAACTTCCAA